GTTGCCTACTGGTGGTGGTCAGAGGGCCCGGTGGCGCCCGTGTCCCGCAGCCTCGCCTCTGTCAGTGCGCCCCAGTGTGGCTACAATGTAGCTTGCCTGTGTGTGTGAATGGGTGAATGACTGAATGTAGTGTGAAACGCTTTGGGGTCCTTAGGGACTAGAAAAGCGCTATCTATACAAATGCAGGCCAATTACCATTTAGTTTAAAAGGTTTAGTCGCTGCTAACCAGCAAGCCTTTGCTGTTCATCTATTTTGCTGGAGGACTCACTGGAGATGCCATCAGCTGGCTCTCCAGTGAGTCTCGTGTCACGTGGCTTGAGCCTTCACGGCCTGCTGCAACATGGTTGAAGTTTCAAATAATGAGGTACGCCTATGTAGATGTAATCCCTAAAGCTTTGGCTTCACACATTTTTTTTTTACATTTTTTTATGATGTCAAGGACGGAATAGGATTTCTTTGGACTGTAAAGCATGCAAAGCTACTCTAGAGTCCAAGACGAATGAAAAATGAGCATAATAGGCCCCCATTTAAAACTTTTTTATGAATATAATCGTGTTGAAGTAGCTTCTTCACTCTAATCCTCTAATTGAACTGTATTAAAATGGCTCCACATATCTCTGTCCATGTATTGACACTTAAATGCTCTTTAATATTACAGCACTTTAGCTTACAGTATAACATTTATGCTATCTTGTATCATACTGCCATAAAAGTTGCTTTCAGATCATTGTTGTAGTGGAGTTCATATGAAGGGAATACGAAAGAATTCATGAGACAACTGTGTGCGTGACAGCAAGCTAACATGGCTACGAATATGAGCTCCAGAAATATATATGACCCATATTCATGTCTCGTGGGACTGACTTCACTCAGTTCATCCTCTGGTGATGTCTTCAAGCTTGATGTATGTCTTTCTTGCCGGCGTCTCATATCTCATTCGTGCTCGTTGTACTCTTTTTTTATTCCCCGCCCCCCTCACCACATGCTGTCAGTGTGTCCCTTGGCCTGTTGATTGAAACATGCCCGCAGTCTGTCTGACGACATTCGATGCCAAGCGGCTGATTTATTTGCTCTGTAACACACCGATCCTCCTGCTGTGAAACCCCCCTCCACTCTGCTTCCATTTGAGGAATCTTGGAGTGGATGTGGTGCATTTCATCAGACGTTGACGCTGTAAA